GGTGTGTGGGTGTGTGTGTGTGTGTGGTCGTGTGATGTGTGGTGTCTGTTTGTCATGTGTGTGTCTGTCCCTGTGAGTGTGAGTGTGTGTGTGTCGGTGAGGAGTTTAAAGAGAAAGTTAGCAGAGAATATGTCTATACTGATTTTTTTTTTTTTTTTTTTTTCTTTTTTTTTTTTTTTTTTGTTTTTGACATCTTAAACAATTGCTGCTGGGGATGGATGTATGTGGAAATGCCATGGCCATGTGAGTCGATTGTACGATTGTTCATTTACACATAGGAGATGGCTACACTGGTACGAAGATCAATGAGCCAATTACAGTACTGCATGTCTTCGCCGGTCACCCTTTTCATCGATTTACGAAAACTATTTAACGTTATCCTAATTGCTGTTAAAAATATCACATCTATTTTTTATAAGCATTAGTAAGAATACGTTTTTTCGCATTCAAGAAAGGTGAAATCAGGATAGTAGAGCCATATGGACAGAACATATTTCCAAAAATATAGGAAAATGAGTACTGTATTTCCCACATTTTTGTTATTTTCCCCGGCGGCAATGGGATAAAAATCGTAATATATTTGTCGATTACCACATCGGAAATGGAAAATATTTCCATAAAAATCTTTTCATCAGAAATTACTTAGCAGCTTTGAAATTCAGATGCCGAAACAATAGTCATCTTTCATCAATATTACCTAGAAAAGAATGCAGAAAACATAATGTCAGTATTTGATTTTTTATCATCAGTTGTTTATTTGTTGCTTATATTTTGCTTTTTATGTGTACACATTCGTATCCTTTTGAACACCGCAAAATTTTCAGTATCTGCTCACATTTACATCTTGTTTTTTTCTTCAACAGACACCATACCTGGCTTGGCAAATGTGGCAACTCGTGTTTCCTACATGCTCTCGTTACAGTCAGTAGCATCAGGCCCTTCTCAATCAACTGGTGACATCCAAGCTCAGGGATCCATTCTCCACCATTTGGTTGAAAGATCTACAGACCTCTGAAAGGTAGCATCTGTTGTTTGTGACGTATTCTTCTTTATTTGGTATTTTTGAAAATTTTATAGGGCCCAGTAGAGATGTCTTAATCCTTCCCCTTTCCCCTCCCTTTTAACATACCCCTCCCTTTAACCCATCCCAACTCTCAAATCCTTACTCCTTCTCCTCCCTTCCTACTCCCACTACCTCTTCTCCTCCTGATCTTCGATTCAGTCCTTTCTCCTCCTTCCTCCTCTCTTCACTCCTCCTCCCTCCCCTCCTCTTCCTCTCTATTGCCTATCCTTTTCTTCTTCTTTCACCTCCTCCGCCTCCTCCTTTTTTTCTAAGACAAAAATCACATTAATTTCCCAACATCTCTTGGCAGCGTTAAACAATGATGGGGCATGGAGGGGTATGCATGTGCAGGTGAAGTGATGCGTGCCTCTCAGGGACCATGGTGGTGTATCTCTGCAGAGGAACAAGACCACACATGAACTATTTCATGCCCTGAACAGCCACTTGGATGAAGAATAAGGAAATGTCTCACAACCCCCTCTCTCCTTGATGCCTAATGGATGGAGGCAAGTGAAAAACTAAACATATCTGAGGAAGGTGTTGCTCAAGGCCTGCATCAGTGGAGTATTGAATGAGATTATAGCATCCCAGAAGTGGAATGGTGTACGAGTGGAATGGAAAATGCAGACTGTGCGACAAGGTAACAGTTACGTGAAAGGTGGCAAAAATGTGGAAAATCAGATTCCTTTTCCAGTGCAGATATGGACGGTTGATGATCCGAAACTGTGATAATTTTAGCTAGGAAGGCATGATTCTGCAAAAATGGTGCTGTGGTCAATGCAAAAGGGTCAGATTAGTATGTAAGCAGTATCCAGGTTGTGAAACTGAAAGTGTAAAATATCAGAAAATGTAGATAGTAAGAATGATCAGATAACATATATGTGATGGAGAGCATAGCAAAGGAGACATACATAATGGGAAGACTAATAGTACCAAAAGAGTCTAGATGATATATAACAGAGTTCGCGATGAAGACTGGGCCACCTATTCTATGAGAGTAATAAGCCTAGTGGACAAGAAGAATAGTGATGACCTGAACAGAGAATCGGGCTCCTCCAGCTATCCCCCGAAGAGAAGATTTGGAAAAGGTTCAGTCGACAGGTACTGGAAAACCCGCCCAGTTCAGCAGGATAGCCCATTCAGAGGATATTTAGCTAGCCAGGCTCCAGGTATATATGTGGTCATAGGTATGGATAGAAGAAATCTAGTTTCCATATCAAAATATGGAAAAAAGTGGAACTCTCTTTCTAGCTTGATAGTTATTTTATCTGGAAGATGAGTAGTCATTTTGATAGGGCTTGTAGAGAAAGTATGATTAGGATTTTCTTTCGTTCTTCTCCCTGTAGAATCCTCATCAGTGGTCAAGCTTTGAGTCTTATAAATCTCTTTAAATGCATCTGTGACTTGGGTGAAGTGACTTACAGGAACTTTAGACTGTTATATTACCAAGAAAAGTTAAGGATGTACTGTGGACAACTGCACCAGAAAGCTGGCTGTACATCAAGAGTCATTACAAAGCAACTTACTTAGGAAAGGTAAGTACAATGAGTGATATGTACTTAATGCAATGGATAACAACTTTGTGAAAGGTTGTAGAAGGGGGGATAAATTAGATGTTCTTGTCGATGGATCCCTTAATTATGTTGAAACAAATTTTTGATCGTGGCAAAAAACTGTATAACAGGGAATGTATATAGTTTGATTCATAATGTTAGTTGTTTGATGAAAGTACAGTAGTAAGAGGCTTGATGAAACAAAAATGATGATAACCTTGCGTTGTTGTGTATACAATAGGGCGATTGATTATTAAAAAAAAAACTAATCTTATTATTATTGGAAGGGGGGGAGGGGGGGGGGGCCCCAAAAGTTTTGGATAAGGCATTTGAGAGATAGCAGTAGAAACAGACGGTTTACCAATTTCTCAGGGGGCCCATTAAAGGGGAATAGTTAAGAAAGATATGTCAGAGTATTCGATATATGCTTTATTTTTTTTATATACAAATATATAATTCCTTTCTGATATTTACCACTATCCTATCCTGAAATAAATCTAGAACAGTGAAGAATGGCTAATTTAGGTGTAAATCCATGATGTAAGACGTGGTTCAAAAGCTAGGCTTGGGTACTTCTTGAAAATGCCTATTTGTATGGGAGAAGCCTGACTTTCTCTTCAACCAATGTGGGAGGTCTCTGATGTTAGTGCATGGCTATGTCTTCTCTCCTGGAATGGAAAGGAAGGTCAGATAGTCAATAATTAATTATTGAAATTAATAATTATTTTGTTTATTAGTTGAATTATTATTTATTTTTTTATTTTTTTTTTTTTTTTTTTATTTATTTATTTATTTTTGTGAGGCAGGGGCAGTTATTCCCTATGAGACAGGTCTTTTCAATTTTCTTTTTCTTTTTCTTTTTTTTCTTTTTCTTTTTAGGCATTCTGCTATCTGTAACATATTAATATAAGTAAATAAGTAAGTATATCACCCTGCATGGCACTTTCAGTACCATGCATAGATTCTTAACAAACTGGTATTAAGTCGAACTACCAGTATGCTCGACATTGTTCTGATATAAATCATGAATCTTTATTTCAGTACAATTTTTTTTGCGTGGTGAATATCACTACATATAACTTGTTCGCAGTATGTGGGGTGGTAGCTTTCATCTTCAGTCTCACTTAAATGAGTAATATCACCACTTATATGAGTTATATTACCGTGGTGATTACTATGACTACTCAATTCTACACTGTACCTCCTAAGATGTTTATTCTCCTCAATACACACACAAGCACTGACATTAAAAGCTTCTTTGTTTTCACTCTGTGAAATGCTATTTCTGCATATTTCTACAAATCTAATTACCACCATTGGTCACGCACATGCAAGTATGTTATCATGATATAACCCCTTTCTTCCCCAGGTGGCAAGAATTTCCTGCCATTACCCACTGTAAGAACGTAATATTTTGTATTTACACATAGATGGACTCTACAAGTTATTATCACCAAGCTAGCCAGTGTTATCAGAACTACTATATAACCTGTTTACCCTTTTCATCACATTTAGGAACGTTTTGTTTTTGTTATCATTAATTGTCTAAAACCTACCCTGAACCTTGTCCAGGGGGATTTTATACCAATACAAATTTTATCAATCATAAAGAAAACCCCAGTTCAACACATCTACCCAAACATGTTTATACAGTATTGACATGTTAAGGTGTTTCTGTGCGTAGGCGTAGATAGGAAATTTTATCGGGGGGCGAGAATGCAGATTTTCGACAAAAATGTAATAAGCATTTTTGTTTCTCTGGATATTTTCCGAAAAATGGTCTAGAAGGGGGTTTTCCGCCCCCCCCCCCTGACACCCCTCTATCTACGCATGCTGATTCGTATTAACTATAATGTGTGAAGATGCAAGGGGTACAAGAAGCGTGTATCATTATGTTATGCAGACTTTGTTTTCACTCTTATCCAGAATTATTTCTAGTTGAAACTAATGTTGAAGACAACCACAGTAAAAGCTCAAAGGCTCTAAATTAATTTTCCTCTATTAAAACAGTATCCCACAGACATTTGATAAAACAAATGCAGACAAATTAACCAAGGTGTTTAACATTTCTCATGTGTCTATATAGTTAAATTGTTAGTTTGGTGATATTTATGTCAGACCAACTATATGTACATACAGATGCTTGTGGAAAATTAAGAGTAATAGATAAAACGATGGAAAGGGCTACTATTAGTAACTTATATTGTACATAGTCATAGACACTTTAACCCATTGGGTGCCAGTAATTGCACCGTCCACTATAGTTTTATTTGGTGAATTTCATTTGCACATAGATGGATCAACATGTGCTTAGTCACCAAGAAGGCAATTAGCAGTCCTACCTAACCTCAGCTGATAAGTATTATCTAATATATATAAAGTCATATGAAATAATATATGCTGCATATGGAATAATATACAATATATATCAATATGAGATTTGCTCCTCAGATTAGAGAATTACATATAGATATATAGTGTACATTCAACAGAAAAAAAATCCTATATTCTTATAAACTTGTTCATGTCCTTTGTTTAGGATACTTTGCTTAGGCAAATAAAATGTGAAAATAAAAACCTTGTCGGCTGCATTTTGTGATGCTAGAAGCAACATGTTCTCAAAGGGACTCTTATTCTGTGAATTACTGATAAGGCTTATATAGTATCACATATGTATGTATGTATGTATGTATATACACATGTATATGTACTATTCATACATCTCTTTGTACAATTTCAGCTCCCAGACTGTTTGTGCTTTCACGTAAAACGCACAATATGGTTAGAAAATGGAACCGCCATTAAAAGACGGGACCACGTCATTTTCCCAGAGTTCCTGACCATGGATCCATACACCTACACTACCTCTATTACAGCACAGGTAAAAAGTATTGTGATCTTGGCTGAGTAGCAATAGGCATAACTGAACCTGTGAATTTCATCCTTCTCAAGGAAAACTGTAACTAATGATATGTATCCTTGGAAATTATATGTAATAAGTACTACATTTCATCTTGTCTTGTCTTCTTTATATGTATGATTTGAAAAGTATCCTGGTGTGGATGTTTTTACATATAATCAATTTTTATTGTTATATTGTTGGTATTGGTATTATTATTGTCTTTATTATTACCCTTCAGACAGTCAGACTGTATATAATATCTTGTGTATATCAGTATCAGTATAGCTATATAAATATCAATTGTCTATAACATTCAGGCCTATATTATTATTATTTATGCTCTTTCTTAAATTTTATCCAAGGGATTCCTTCCTGGAATAGAAAAGGCTAAAAGTATCTAGTCTGTAGATTAAAAATAAATAAATAAATAAATAAAAAAATAATAAAATCTCATAAAACTAGAACTTCAAGATAAGGGCAGAGCTTTATTGTGGATAGTAAATACCAAGAAATGGACTAGCATGCATTATTCTTTTCACATAACAGGTACAACAGGACAGTTTGCGGGATAGCTCTGATCACAGCCATTCCACTTCTGAGAGAAATGGTGGATCAAACCTATCGTCAGATTGGTCTGCAAATAATTATGATCACCAATCTCTTTCCATCTTGAGTAAACACGCAACCTCCAGTCAACTAGAACCCAGGTTGGTTTTGATTTGATTTTTTTTTTTTAAGTCTCCTGTTTGCAATGATAAGTACTAATAACTCATAACTTTTGTGATGTGTGTGTGTGTGTGTGTGTGTGTGTGTGTGTGTGTGTGTGTGTGTGTGTGTGTGTGTGTGTGTGTGTGTGTGTGTGTGTGTGTGTGTGTGAATATGCAACCCTGGCTGATTCAGTCATAATGGAATATATAATTTGTTCATGTTTGTGACCCTGAACCTTCCATGAGGATGTCACTCTTCACGTAGATTGACGCAAGTCAGCAAAGCAAGCAAGCAAATATTTTCTCTGGTCTTCTCTAGGGATTGGATTTCAAGCTGATTTAGCACATCAGTATGAGGTGTCGTTTGATCCATTTATTATGTGCAATACTTTTTTCTCAAATCTTTCTAATGTAAAATTTTCTAAGTAATAGATGAATGTCAGAATAGTGCAGCATATTCACAAATTGATCAAATGAAAGTCATCCATATACGGAGCGGGTCATCCTGCACTAAAGGGTTTTAACCCATTGCCGCCGGGGATGGCATATACGTACATGCCATGCCTACTGTGAGTCGACTTATTTGATTGTTTATACACATAGATGGCTACACTTGTACTAAGTATCCAATAAGCCAGTTACAGTACTGCCTGTCTCGCCCGTTCACCCTTTTCATCAATTTACGAAAATATTTAACGTTATCCTAATTTGCTGTTAAAAATAACACCATCTATATTATAGCACTAGTAAGAATATGTTTTTTCCCGCCTATTCAAGGTGAAATCAGGACTAGCAGAGCCATCTATGTACAGAGATATTTCACAAAAATATAAAAAATGAGTACTGCATTTCCCCCATTTTTTGTTCATTTTCCCCCGGCGGCAACGGGTTAATTTTGATAACACGGAAAATCTTTTCCGCACTCTGAAATTAATATTTTGGTGTTGCAGAACCACTTTAGGTCTTCAGTGATTCAACAGATTCACCTCAGAGGTGCTTGTAAAAAGTTTGTTACTAATACAGTTGGCGAATTTATTGAATTTTATTTCTGCTTGTTAGTGATGACTAGCATTTTATTTGGTGGAGCTCATTCTGACACTTAGTTGAAGGCATCTTGTAGCAATACATTGCCTTGCCCTGGTTTGTGTGAGTGCAAGTGTCATGTCGTCCATAGGCAGAATATTAGCCTCCTTTACCAAGAAAATTAGGTGGATTTGTTTTGAGAATTGGGTCTATGATAGCATGCTTTCATAGGTCAGGTATCATTTCCTTAAGTGATGGATCTATTAAAGATGTCACATAGAGAGGTGGCGAGCTCAGAAGGCGAATTCTTGCAGTAATCTTGTAATGTCATTAGGGCTAGGATATTTACTTTTTGCAATCCTTTTTAACCCATTCCCATGAGATTACTTGTTAGATTGTTTTTACACATAGATGGCTACACTTGTACTAAATCATCAATGAGCCAGTTACGAGTACCGCCTGTCTCGCCTGTTCACCCTTTTCTTTGATTTACAAAATATTTTATGTTATCTTATTTACTAATGTTAAAAAACATTATGATAAAAATAACACCATCGATATTTATGGCACTAGTGAAAAATACGTTTTTCCCACCATTTCAAATCAGGCGCTAACAGAGCCATCTATAGGCAGACATTTAACAAAAAGTATAGAAAATAGGCACAGCATTTTCCCCATTTTTTGTTGATTTTCCCCGGCAGCTATGGGTTAAATGCTGATACCCTTCATATTCACTCACAATTGCTTGAAAAGGGCATGAGGGTAAGCAAGCTGGCAAGTCTGTCGTTTGTAGTGGTGGGTTTAGCTTGTTGATATTAGCAAAATGAGAGTTGAGGATGTTAGCAGCGCTCTCTGGCAAGTCAGCAATTTTTGCTGATTTGAGTACAGCTAATAATGTTAACTAAATGTTTCATTCAGAAAGAAGACTGTGAAAGTATATATCTGATATACAAACCAAAGGAATATATTTCATATATAAGTTTTGTTTGATTACTTATTTTGAATGTAGATATAAATTATTGTTGTGAAAATTCGATGAAATTATTTGATAGCATTTCTAGACCCATTGATAATTTTAGCATATCAGGATTAGTAGTCTGAATCCAAATTACATAAAATATAGATAGGTACACATTCATATTGTAGAATTATATGAATATGTCCCTTGATTCCTTGAGGCCAGGTAAAGTTGTTTTCAATTTTGTGTAACTAGTATTATGGGCTTATCAACAATCTTACGAGTCTTCTCTTCCCTCAGCTCATTTGTGCATGTCTCAAGAGTGCGGTGTGAACAGCTGTACAGACTGAAGGCAGTTATTGTTCATGTTGGAGATGTCTTCTGTGGACATTTTGTGACATACCGTCGAGGAGCGATAGGTTCACGCACGAGGAACAGGTTGATACCCAGTTATTGTTATTTTCTTATGATTATTATTATTGTTCTTATTATCAAAGTGCATATATTATTTACCTGATTTAAATAACCTTTCTCTTGAGGATGTATTTTTGCACATGCATTCACATAGAAAAAGATATGAATGAAAATGAACCTATTAGATCTAGGTACTTCCCAGATGTGTGGCTTGTATGCCTGGCCCACACTAACTCTCATGCACTTTATCAAGACTCCTTGCCTCCTTTTTTACAGTGTTGATTCTATCTATCCAGATATGTTTTTGCATTTTTGCCATTTTTCAAACTATGTATTTGCCATTTGTTATGCAGTATGAGGATGGTAGTAGATTGTTTTCATTGAGCAAACACTATATTATCTCTCCAGGTGGTTTACACACTGTGTAATAACAGTAACAATGAGTATTTTTTTAGTCTTTAGTGTTTAGTTTTTCATTTTACACCCTGCACTGCCAATAATGGCAGACAGGAATATTTTCCTGCATGTGAATAATAGTATCCTCCCTGGAGATGACCCTCTTGCTCATGAATGGTCTACTTTTGTGGACTGATGGAAATCCTTGCAAATAAGCCCCTTCTTGAAGGCCCACTGAGTCAATTCCCTCCCAAGTTCTTGGTGCACTTATGACAAAATGTCCCCATCATCTGCCACTCAGCAATAGTTTCATGCTCCAAATTTCCTTTTCCTTTTTTCCTTTTCCTTGGCCAATTTCTTTTCATGACAAGGTGTCGCCATCAACAGGATCCATTAGGTTAATAACTGCATAGTGTAGGATATGTGATTTAAGGTACTTCAATTAAATCTTAGTCAGAATTTTATACCCCAGGAAAATAATTACAAAGCAAGATGAGTTCAAAACTGGCATCTTGGACTAGTTCATTACCCATGCAATTAATTTTGCCATGGTCTTTGATAGTGTGAAACTATCTGATCTGATTTTCAACTTTGTGTTTGACACTGTTGCAATTTATACAGCTTCCATTAATTTTCTTTCCAGCTTACATAATCCTGCATGGATCATTTTTGTTCACTTCTAGTCTGGTAGCTGTTTAGCTTTGTCTACATGTACAACATTTGTCATAATGAGCTTTGCTCATACACACATGCATACTTCTCCCACTCACTCACCATGCTGTCTCAGTAATTGGTTGTTCTTCATCTCTGCAGGTGGTTCTACGCATCAGATCTCTTAGTGAGGGAAGCAACTTTAGAAGAAGTGAAGAAAGCTCACATCTACATGATACTCTATGAGAAAGTAACACAGTAACTACTGATGCACCCAGAAGAGCATTATGGTATATATAGAAGTTGGAAGAAGAAAAAAAAAAAGAGAAGACATTTTACCAACTTTGCTTTGCCTGAAGAAAATTGAATGATGTGATATACTACAGGCCGTTAAAGGTCAAACTCTTCAAAGTTCTTCCAGTTTTTTGCTTGGGATGTTTTTAACAAATGTGTATTTTAGCTTTATTTATATATTACTAGATCAATAAGATTGGCAATGATCAAGAAGTATATTTAATTTTATACTTGCATAGCAAAACATCTTTTATATTATTGTAATGAAGATATAAAATATTTTAGTAATGATAATGCATATTAAACAAGAAAATGCTGGTAGATTTAAGAAAGATATATGAAATCACTTCATTGGCAGAAGTGTATAAATAAAAAAATGTATCTCATATGCCATACTTTTTCCCTTTTGGCCTCCAAAGCTTCAAGTTATTTTATGATAAGCTCATATGGGAGTTCAGCAATATCTGAGAATCACAAGAGAAACTAGATTTGATATCAACACTTTGAATGTATTATAAGTATTAATCAAAATAGCCATCAATAACAATTGCAGCAAGGACCACTGTATGTTCATATTAATATTTAGAGATCTGTATTGATCTGCTGATATAAAGGACTATACAGACTAAGTAGTTTCTTTTTCACCTGTTCTCATATTTGCTGTAGGAGATAAAGTTAAGTTGATATGCCTTATGTAATTGTCTGAAAGGTGGGTCTTTTGGGAAATGAAATTTATAATAATGGTAAAATTATATATATCAACTTGTATAATGCAAAATTTTCTATTCTACAAACCAGTGGTTTTCCCCTATCTGTTTTCATTTTTAGTTTTGATTTTATTGCTTTCACCCAATGCTTACTCAGGATTTTATTTGGACAGTATATATACAGTGGAACCTGCCAAAGTGAACACCTTTGTACTTTGAACAACTGGCTATATTGAACACTTTTTGTTGGTCCCGGCAAACCAACTATAAATTGAAGTAACCAACCCTTGATAATTTGAACAACTGCCTAATGTGAACATTGAAAAAAATTTTCGAGTCCCTTGAGCAAATTTTACCTGTTTACAATGAACACTCATCAGTTATTTGTGCAATGGCTTGGTCAACTGGTGCTAATTGATGTTAATATGGGCATGAGCATTGTGCTTGGGTTAATGGTTAAAAGCAAGATAAATGTGCTAGACATCTAAGGTCATGTAGCACTATAGTTAATGTTAATGAAAGGTGTTTGAGTTAGTGGTTAGTTGTCTAAGCTGGGCAAAGGAATTGGTGAGTTAAAGGGTTAAGGTCGGGTGTTAGATTAGATAAAGGATATGTATGCGTTTGAGGAAAGAGAACAGGTTGTTGATGCAGAAAGTGTGGGATTCTGTAAGGATGTCTGATAGGTTGGGAGGTCGGTGAAGGGAGGATAGGTGGGGGAAAGCAGAGGTACGGGCTGCTTCAAAACGTGGGCACGACAATAGGATGTGTACGATTGAAAGGGGAACATTACATAAGGAACATAGGGGTGGATCAGATTGTGACATCAGATAGGAGTGTGTTAGACGGGTGTGGCCAATGCGTAAGCGGGCGAGAGCAGTCTCCCAACGTCTGTTCCGATGAAATGGAGCTGACCAGGAGGAGATTGATAGTTTTACAGAATGTAATTTATTAGTGTGGAGGCTTGACCAGAAAGATTGCCATCGTTTATACAAGAAGGTCTTAAAGTGTGGGTAATAATCCGTGGCTGGGATACGTGAGAAGCGTGGTTGGTATGATGTGGACATAGCAGCGTGGCGTGCTAGTGTATCTGCCTGTTCATTGCCGGGGATTCCAACATGGCTGGGCACCCAGCAAAATTTGATTGTTTTGTGGCGTGTGGACAGGTAGAACAACCAGTTCTGGATCTTACAAACAAGGGGGTTGGTGCTGTGTATTGACTTTATGAGAGTTAATGAGCTACGGGAGTCAGTAAAAATTGTAAAAGAGGAAGAGGAGAGTGAGTATATGTGTTTTAGGGCAAAAAGGAGTGCATACAGTTCAGTAGTAAGGACACTGGATTCAGGAGGAAGGGAGTATTTGAAAGTACGAGTTGGGAATATTACTGCAAAACCAGCACCAGAGGTGGATTTGGAGCCATCAGTATATACGTGTATACTAGAGGAATGGGTGGAGACATGGTCAAGGAAATGGATGAGAAGGACAGTAGGAGGAATATTTGATTTTGGTGGGTCGGGGAAAACAGAAGAGCAAATATGGGGGTGAGGTATAAGCCATGGAGGGACGGAATGGACAGAGAACGGGAGAGGTTGGAGATGGGGGAAAGGGGAATGGGAGGAGGGTATCCATGCGAGTGGAGAAAGGAGTAGGTAAGCGTGGAGATGAAGCTAAGGTAGGAAGTAGGGATTGTGGGATAGTTAGTTTAGTGAGGGGAAGTTGGTGGAAACGAACATAACATCGGAGTGAGAGCAGGGCACGACGTCTAGATAGAGATGGTATGCCTGATTCAGTATACAGGCTCTCAACTGGAGAGGAGCGGAAGGCGCCTAGTGCTAAGCGAAGACCACAGTGATGGATTGTGTCAAGATGGGCAAGGAGAGAAGTTGAGGCAGAGGAGTAGATATGGCATCCATAATCAAGAGTGGAGAGGATCAAAGTAACATGAAGATGAAGGAGAGTTTTGCGATCTGAGCCCCATGATATATGGGATAGAATTTTTAAAATTCGAAGGCGGCGGAGAGCTTTTTCTTTAATGTGTAGAATATGGTCTCGCCAGGTCAGTTTGGAGTCAAAAATGACGCCTAGAAATTTGCCAGAGGAACGGCATTGGAGTGGAGTGCCATATAGGAAGAGTGGGGGTAGGGGATTTACACGTGAGCGAGAGAAAAGGATGGAGAAAGATTAGAGATAGAAAAGCGGAAGCCATGGTTTGTGGCCCAGGAAGATACTGATGAGATTGCAGATTGAAGAAATTGGTAGAGATTGGTATGGATGTGCCAGATGCATAGATGGTTAAATCATCAACATATAGTGATGACCGGCTCCTGGTGGTAAAACTGAGACAATATCATTAACAGCTAGAAGGAATAAAGTGGTACTGAGCACACTGCCTTGTGGGACACCTTCGATTTGAGGAAAGAAAGATGATGTGGCAGAAGCAATTTTGACCTGAAAAGTGCGTTGGGAGAGGAAAGACTTTATGAAGACACCCATGTTTCCACGTATGCCTAGAGAGGACAATTGTTGGAGAATATGGTACCGCCATGTCGTATCATATGCTTTTTCTAGATCAAAAAATATAGCTAGTACGGATTCATGGCGTGCAAATGCGGATGTAATATATGTCTCAAAATGAGCAAGGGGGTCAGCTGTGCTTCTGGCACGGCGAAAACCGAATTGGGAAGGAGAGAGAAGATTGTGAGATTCAAGATACCACATTAAGCGGAAGTTCACTATTCGCTCTAATAGTTTGCACAAGCAGCTAGTTAGTGCGATGGGGCGATAGTCTTGAGGGAGGGTACCCGATTTATTGGGTTTCAGGAAGGGAAGGATAAGAGCTTCTCGCCAATTAGAAGGAAAATTTCCTGATGTCCATATGTGGTTGTAAATTTTTAATAGGAAGGATAAGGAGGAAGATGGGAGTTGCCGGAGCATACGGTAGTGAATACCGTCAGGGCCTTCATGAGTGTTGCGGCACGATTGTAGGGCAGTAATGAGTTCAGAGGAAGAAAATGGGGCATTATAGGATTCAGTGGAGGATGGGGTGAAGGTAATGGGGGTACGTTCTCTGGTGGTCTTGATAGAAGAGAAGTGTGGAGAAAGGTGAGAGCCACTACTGACCTGGCTGAAATAATCACCCAGTTCATTAGCGACTTGGAGAGGATCAGAAATGAGGGTATCTCGAATATGGAGGACGGGGGCAGGATGGGGGGGATGTTTGCCTGATAGTTTATGGATTCGTCGCCATACATTTGAGATAGATGTAGAGGATGTAATTGATGAAACATAATCTCGCCAGCTATTTGTTTTACTATTCCGGATTGTACGACGAAGACAGGCAGATGCTCTTTTAAAGGAGATAAGGGCTGATAGTTGATTTGGAGTACCTCTCTTGTAGCGGTAACTGTTCCAGGCTGCACGTTTTAAGCGAAGTGCTTTAGTGCAATCAGAATTCCACCATGGAACACATTTAGAGGTATATGGTCTTGAGGTTCGAGGGATAGCTGTATGTGCAGCTCTTAAGACTGTAGTTGTGAAACATTGTATCATTTCTGAATGGAGGTGAGGGAGGATGGAGGGGTATGAATAGCAGAGAGTGTAGTGAAAGTATGCCAGTCGGCTCTCTCAAAGCACCAGCGTGGGGAGTTAGGAAGTGGTACGTATGAAGTAGGAGAAAGGAGAACTGGAAAGTGGTCACTATAGGGAAAGTGGTCTAAGACTGACCAGTGGAAATCTATATGAAGAGAAGGGGAGCATAGAGAGAGGTCAATGCATGAAAAGATTGCGTGCGTGTATCAAAGTGTGTGGGGCGATCTGAATTTAGAATAGTAAGGTCAGCTGTGGAGAGGAAGCGCTCTAGAGATCGGCCTCGGGAGTTGGTAATAGAATCCCCCCAAAGAGTGTGGCGGCAGTTAAAGTCGCCTACTATGAGGAAAGGTGGTTGAAGTTGGGAAATTAGATTTTCAAAAGCAACAAAGTCAATGGGGTGGGAAGGGGAGAAGTAGACTGAAATCACTGTGATCCAACGATGAAGGAAGATACGAATAACTGTACAAGGGACATTGGTTTGAAAGGGTGGTGTGACATAAGGTGTTTTCTGATTGATAAGTATAGACGAGACATAAAGGGAATGTGGGGAAGAGACAAAATGATAATTGGGGATTGGTATTGGAGGATGTGTAAGAAAGGTTTCTTGAAGGCATACAATAGATGGGTTATAAGAGGAAAGGATATGACGAAGGTCAGGTCTGTGGGAGCGGAAACCACGAATATTCCAAAGAAGGATAGTTATACTTTCGTTGATTTAGTGATATAGATTGCAGTACGTGTTGGAGACTTTGAGGGGGAATCAGCTAGAGGGTGGATAAGGACTGAGAGGTTTGAGATGGGAGAGATGTGGGAGTTGGTGTTCTATCAGGAGGGGTATTAGGAGATGGAGGGTCTGAGGAAGGGGATACTTGTGACATAAGGGATTCATGTGTGTATCCAGGAGGGAGTGGAAGGGATAGAGGGGATGGTGGGAGGGTTAATGTGGGCTGGGTTGGGGTCGGGGTCGGGGGGGATGGCTGTGTTGGGAGGGGGTAGGAGGATAGGGTGTAGGGGGGATATCGTTAGGAGGGGGATGGATATCAGCAGTTACTTGGAGTGTGGAAGGAGCAGGGGTTGTAGGTTGAGTGTCAGTTTGCATTAAGTAATCTTGAATATTTTCAATAGTTTCTTCTGAGGAGTTGGTTGGGGAGTTGTGGGGGATAAAGGATTTCTTGTGAGGGGGGGAAGAGAGGACTGGTGTTTCAAGAGTAGGGGCAAAGGATGGTGGAGGTGATTGTGTGGTAGGGGAAGAGGGGTGGAACGTTTGTTCTGTCTGTTACGGGGGAGTGCGAGGAGGGAGAGGGGAAGGTGTTGGGGTTGTAGTGGTGATTGGAGTATCTGTATTAGAGATTGGAGTTTCTGGATTAGGATGGCAAAAGAGTTAGACTGGGGAAGGTAGGAGGTAGAAGTGGGGGGGTTAGATGTAGGAGGGGTGGGTTTAGGAGAAGTGTTAGAATGAGCAGTATTACTGGAGTAAGGAGTAAGAGAGAATCCACGTCGACGTGCTTCCTGTCTGGCTTCACGCAGTGTGAGTCCAAGTTTGAATTTGAGAGTTGCTACCTCAGATTCAAATTTGTAGGTGGGACAGCCCCTATAAAATACATTATGGGGGCCGCCACAGTTGGCACATGTGCGTGATTGTGCAGAGCAGTTAGATCGGGTATGGCCAGGTTGGGCACATAATGGGCATCTGGCTGTGGAACGGCAGTGTTTGGCTGGGTGTCCTAGACGCCAACAATTTTGGCACTGACGTGGAGGAGGTTGGTATGGACGAACAGGGAGGGATTCTCCTCCTATGTAGACGTTAAAGGGAAGGTCATGTCTGCGGAAGGTAATTTTGGCTATGTTAGTGGGTTTCTTTCGATGACCTCTGGGGGGGATTGAGTAGCATTGTACTGATGTTGCATCGTAGTCTGTGAGACAGGCAAGTAGATCTTCTCCACAATCTGACCAATCTTTGTCATAGATTGGGCAATTTGCTGGTGAGATTGAGACTGTTCCGGTGCAAGTATTAAGGGTTGGATGGGGTTCTGCTAGGATGGGGTTACCATATTGGTCAGTTAGTTTTGTTAGTGCTATGGCTTGGTTTTCGGATGTTACTGTTACAAGACGGGAGCGGTCGGGTCGGCTACGGAAAGAGACTTTACCTACTTGTTTTTGGAGGCATTGTTGGAAGAGAAGGGTGTTGTCAGAGTAGGGAGCTGTGGGAGGGATCACGAAAAATCGGTCCCATTTGGTTGCACTGAAGAGAGTATTCAAGATTGTTTTAGAGATAGGGGTGGTAGAAGGGCGAGGGCGTGACGAAGATGGAGTAGTGTTGATAGAGGTAGTGTTATGGAGAGGTGGGCTATAAGGCTGTAAGGTATTAATAAGGGAGGATGGGGTGGTTGATGTTGGGGGTTGTGGGGTAGAGGTGTTGAAGTTGGGTATGCTGGGAGAGTGGAAATGTTCCTTGAAGGTTGATTATTGGCTACTGTACTAGTAGGCATTGGTGAAGGGGTAGTTATTGCAGTGTTCGGAGCCGTGGTCAAAGGAGAGCCTGGGGTCGGGGAATCAGGTGGGTTTACTTCGTTGGGGCTATTTGATAAAGGGGCAAGCCTCATTGCCCCTAATAGTGGAGATAGATTTTCATTACTGGCCATGGGAAGCCTGGATTATGTTGGGGATAAAAACAGTCCACCCCTCAGGGTCCCCTTGAGGGGTAAGGGCTAGATAACTAAATCAGGGGAATACCGTGCCCATGGCTCCCTCAGGCCGTTCAGGACTGGCACAAAGTCAGCCTTTCATCCTTTCAGCACGGCTCTCACACCTTAGGAGGTGGATAGCAGAAGGGTTTGGTGAAGGGACAGAAACAAAAGTGGGAAGGGAAAAAAAGACCATGCATAATTAGTTGAGTCGAGGGCTGAGTCCCAAGGTTGGGGAGTTCCCCATCATTGGGTCCCAGTCTCCGCCTCCTAAGCCCCCCCACGACAACAACGGGCAAGGGATTGGGGGGGCATTGTGCTTGGGGCTTTAGTCCTGAAGAGGAATCAGTCCTTAGAGGTATCAGGTGCTAATTAGGCCTTTGAGAACCTCATACTTTGTGGCTAAAAGTCTTTTTGTGTTATGGCTAATTAGAGCTTTGATAACAAACTTAATTAACAGAAGTGAAGCTAAATCATTTTTTACTCTGTAAGTGTTGTATAATCTGTCATAAAAACTTTTGAGGCGTTTTGACAGCAGTATGAATACAGCCACCATGTCTGTCAAGAAGAAAGTCTACAACGTGTCTGTGCCAAACTGGAAACCTTGGTACATTGAACACCTGTCTATATTGAACACTTTTAGCTGGTCCCATGAGTGTTCACTTTACACAGGTTCCACTGTATATATTTTTTTATTGAAAACCTTTTGCTGCATCAACATCTAAGGTTATTAGTGGCGTATTCAAAATATTGTGATATCAGTGCTATATGACATCAAAGGTTAAATAGTGCTATGGTAAATTAGTGCATCAAAAAGGGATAGGAATATTTAA